ATTTTAAACAAACATTCAAGTGTACACAACCTATCGTAACACAAGAACAGCTGTCATTGGTCGGGTCGGGGCGGGCGGGGCTATCTCAGAAATTTCGCACTCGTCAGATATTTCGCGCGACACCGGGAACATAGTGTAAACGTAGCATTATGAGAGCGAGAAACAGTGGAATGTCCGTTTTTGATTGGTCCATTCCATCAATAATTAGACAGTATTGATCTGAATCATTTTGCCTTGCGCTGCTCCTTGCTCGATTATAGTATTTTCTCATCCAGCTAAAACAAATTTTTACTAGGTTTATTGTTGGAATACATTATGCATATATACCGATCACTAGATGCACACTTACAATTATTTTTTGCAGATTATAATAAAATTGTATGCTGTACGTGTGTTTTACTGTTGCATATCAACAGACATTTACAATAGCAAATGTTGTGAAACAAGTTTGGTATCTAAACGTTGCTGCTGCGTTCCGCTGCTGCACCCTTAAACTTGACGTACGTATATACATTAGACGTGTCATACTTATTATATACGTACTTTCTTATACTATATTATTGTAAGTGTTTTAGTAGTCACGTCAGCAATACCAGATTAACAATTGTCCTTGAGCCAGCGAATGCAAGCACCAGCGATACCCACTGACCCATCAAGTGCATAAATGACAGGATGCTTTCTGCCAAGCTGGTATGCGACAGTAGTCAATAATCCAATAAGAGAGAGAGAGAAATCAAAAGTCGTAATAATAACCATAATACACACTGTAAATCATTTCAGAAATTCTACTTGCCACTGCTCAAAATTCATACATTCTTCAGTTTACTCCAAAATATACTAGTGTAAGGTTGTACTTGGCGTGAACGTACTGGGTGTACCGGGTAATGATAAAGGTAGCGCGAGGCGCAAAGCTAAACCCAACTAGAGGCGTAACGTACCACAATCACATATATTATAAGCCATTATGAACACAACGGCAAAGCAACGGTAAATCAAACGGTAACAGGGACATACGTGCGACACGGACAGTTGGGTGAAACAATGTAATGGGAAGAGGAGTTCTCCCGCTCCAAGCGCGGCGCGCCTTTTATATGAGCCCGGCCTTCGCGACCGACATCCGGGCATTATCTTCTCACCTCCTGCGCTTCGCCAGGTCGCATTCCTATGCGACCTGCGATCGTTGCTTCGCGAGCACCGCGTGCCCCCCTCTCCGCACTCCTTCTGTCGACCACGCTATCTGGTCAGTTTATTAAACACCTCTGTACGCTCTGTGCGCGACACCTCTGCTTGCTAGGCGCCTTGAATGAATAATGAGTGCGCGCGATGCTAACTTGCACGCCAGCATCGCTACACTAGCATTAACTCTAAGTATGAGACTTGTGTAATAATGTTTAACAAATACGTATTTTGTTGACTGCTATATAATATACGCAGTAGGCCTTCTTTTTATACCGTGGGCACAAACGTGCTCCAAAGCTGCACGGCGTCCACGTTTCATCCGTAGAAAGCCTTGACAAAACGTGAAAAACGTGTCAGACCTTGATCAGATCGTGAGAAACGTGAGGGACCCCATCAGAACGTGACGGGCCGGGAGGGAACGTACTGGCATCCGTAGTAGACCGCGGACCGAACCGTAGTGCGCCTTGGACCATCCGGGACTCAGCAGCCCCTTCCCCCCACGGCCCGTCATGGATACCGTGATAGACCATGAGAAAACTTGGCAAGACCTAACAAAACTTAAATACAGAGAAAAAAATTGCCATAATCCCACGGCGCACTACGTTTCGGGCAAACGGGGCTGCTGTGGCCGCCGGGAACATAGTGTAAACGTAGCATTAGTAGTAGTGTAGTTAGGAGAGCGAGAAACAGTCAGAGTTAGCTGTTAGTTGTTAGCGGAGTACAGAGCGAGTTAGTGGCAAGAGTGTAGTCGGGATAGTAGCGCAGCGTTTACTGTGTGTGTGTATCGGAGGATTGGTTCACTGTGTGTGACACTATACAATGCAAAGTGTGGAATGCCCGTTTTTGATTGGTCCATTCCATCAATAACTAGACAGTTTTGATCTGAATCATTTTGCCTTGCGCTGCTCCTTGCTCCATTATAGTATTTTCTCATCCAGCTAAAACAAATTTTTACTAGGTTTATTGTTGGAATCCATTATGCATATATACCGATCACTAGATGCACACTTACAATTCTTTTTTGCAGAATATAATAAAATTGTATGCTGTACGTGTGTCACTGTTGCATATCAACAGACATTTACAATAGCAAATGTTGTGAAACAAGTTTGGTATCTAAACGTTGCTGCTGCGTTCCGCTGCTGCACCCTTAAACTTGACGTACGTATATACATTAGACGTGTCATACTTATTATATAGGGGCCTACGTACTTTCTTATACTATATTATTGTAAGTGTTTTAGTAGTCACGTCAGCAATACCAGATTAACAATAAATTCTAGATATCCAAATGATACGATGATATTATACGAATTCCCACCTACCTATATCAGAAGATTTTTCTATGATGCCCATAATTATTGTCCTTGAGCCAGCAAATGCAAGCACCAGCGATACCCACTGACCCATCAAGTGCATAAATGACAGGCTGCTTTCTGCCAAGTAAAGCTGGTATGCGACAGTAGTCAATAATCCAATAAGAGAGAGAGAGAGAGAGAGAGAGAGAGAGAGAGAGAGAGAGAGAGAGAAAAATACACACAATGCGGGCAATAACGACGAGGTGCGGCCCAAATCAAAAGTCGTAATAATAACCATAATACACACTGTAAATCATTTCAGAAATTCTACTTGCCACTGCTCAAAATTCATACATTCTTTAGTTTACTCCAAAATATACTAGTGTTAGGTTGTACTTGGCGTGATCGTATAGTGTGTACCGGTACTACCGGGTAATGATAAAGGTAGTGCGAGGCGCAAAGCAAAGACCAACTAGAGGCGTAACGCACCACAATCACATATATTGTAAGCCATATATATCAATCACATATATCAATATATCAATATATCAATCAATCACATATATTGTAAGCCATTATGAACACAACGGCAAAGCAACGGTAAATCAAACGGTAACAGGGATATACGTGCGACACGGACAGTTGGGTGAAACAATGGGGGAGAGGAGTTCTCCCGCTCCAAGCGCGGCGCGCCTTTTATATGAGCCCGGCTTTCGCGACCGACATCCGGGCATTATCTTCTCACCTCCTGAGCTTCGCCAGGTCGCATTCCTATGCGACTTGCGATCGTTGCTTCGCGAGCACCGCGTGCCCCCCTCTCCGCACTCCCTCTGTCGACCACGCTATCTGGTCAGTTTATTAAACACCTCTGTACGCTCTGTGCGCGACACCTCTGCTTGCTAGGCGCTTTGAATGAATAATGAGTGCGCGCGATGCTAACTTGCACGCCAGCATCGCTACACTAGCATTAACTCTAAGTATGAGACTTGTGTAATAATGTTTAACAAATACGTATTTTGTTGACTGCTATATAATATACGCAGTTGTAAGGAGTATTACAATATAATTAAAATCATTAAAAAAATTTCATC